ATATAACCACTAAAAACAGTAATCAGTACTATAGTCATATGGGTGTGAAACACGAAAAAACAACCGAGGATGTGCCGTTTAAACACGCAGCACTAAGAACAAATCAAAGATATTTTAATTGAAGGCTCTTTCAGCCTTCTACCCGTTTTAAGTGTGGGTTATTCTACACATCCAGTTTTTAGAAGTATAGAGCTCATGAACTTAGACAATGCTCCAAAATAACTACCCATATAAGTACCCTGTGCTGACCACCGAGCGGCGACACTTTGTTCTTGAAGGACTTTAACCTGTTACTGAAAGGTGTCCCATTATAGTGATGCCTGCTGTTACAGTGACAGGTATAAAGCGCCTTTGTGTTACCATGACATCATGAAGAACTCACATTGGCTTTTGTTTACGATACTAGACTAGCTAACCCAAATGCTAAATGCTAAAATGAAAAAAGCACAAGGGTCTTTTTTGGGGGAAATTGTTGCTAAAAGTTTGAGAGCTTTTAATAACGTGCAGTTTAATATTTTTTTTAATAAAACTGACGACACTGCAAAAAAAATATTGAAGCTAGCACGGCGTTTAGCACGAATGGCTAACGTTTACGAGCTAAGCCTCGCGTTGTCGGGAAAGCTACCATCACGGAAACGGAGATTACATAAAAGCAGCTCTGCTTTTCTACATCTCATAGTCTCACTATAGTTGCACGCACTTCAAATACACCACAGCGCTGCTGTGGAAGAATAAAGAAAACAATTTACCTGAGAATTTCTTCAACGTACCCTTCCAAGCTAGGTGATAGCACCCCTATCTTCTTCTTCGCTTTCTTTCTGCTGTTGCTGCTCCTTCCTCTTTGCGTTTATTAGGTGAGAACCTTCAAATGGGCACAGCGCCACCCATCGAACCGGAGAATATAAAGTGATAAGATGACATGCTGGGGTACATTTGTTTCCATTTTAGGATATTTTCATCTTTATTTATTTTTTGCTTTCAAATATATTTTTACTTTGAATTCCCTAACTTCTAGATGGTTTCACTTCAGACACTTCAGGATTACCTTTAAATTTTTTTGTTGTTATTCATATATCTACTTCCCATAACATATACATTAATAAATTTCACTGGTAATCTAATTGTAATGTTGTAAACTGTGAAAGAGGTGCTTTTACATTGATCTGGATAATCCCTCCACCATAAGAACTATTTTAGATTAGATTAGATAGAACTTTATTAATCCCTCGGGTGGGTTCCTCTGGGAAATTCGATTTCCAAAAAAGCACAGCACCGACAGAAGTTATTTTCTACCAAAGACACAACCACAGTGAAAACAGTCAATTAGCCAGACTGAAAAATTGAAATGATAATTTCTATAAAGGATTAACAAAAAACATGTCTGGTTTCTCATCAGACCAAGGATTCTGTCACGAGATTAATTTAGTCACGAGAAGCCAAAGAAAGTATGTGCGCACACAAAAAGTCAAAAACCACTGACAACATGTAACCCTGCAATTTAAACACAAAAAGCTTGAAGGAAGCACATTTATTCGAATCTCATCTCAGTAATATGCCATAGCGTACAGTATATTGCTCCATATTACTCCGAAACCATAAATTTACATGCCCACAACACTCAGCTGTTAGCAGTCCTCTATCTTCTTGGCAGACACACGTTTTTGTGTTGGATAGATGACAAAAGGGGAAAGCAGGCTTATAACACTGACACTTACAATCATCATGTTTGTATACCTCACTAATGAGTTTTATTTTGCTGTGCACTGCTTTTTTATTTCATTGATGGAAAAATTGATGAAACAATGGTTTTCTACATGGTACCTACAGGCTTTGGGGATGGACAGTAAGGACAAAGCAGACATGGAGTAAATTATAAGCTGTGGCAGGACAGGATGTTCAAACTTTTTTGATTGTCAACATTTGAGCTTGTACATTTTTGTACAAGAGGTAACCAATCAATATAAAGTTGGTTCAACGGGAGTTTCAAGTTAAATGATAAACTGTACAGTATAAGAAAAATGAGGTTCATTTTGAATTTGTGAACAAAGCTGCTTAAAAAGAGACCAAAAGTATAGAGCAGGAAATGAAAATAATACGTCCCTTTCAAGATTTATTATTCTATTTCTCCTAAACAAACTGCAACTCTGAATCTCAACTCAGCATCGCTTAAACATTTAGACGATTTCTTAAAGGTTTATTTAAAATGCTCTTACAGAATGCAAGGGCATTAATGTAAACTATTGAAGCTATGTGACCAGCTTGTTGGTCTTTTTTTTTTTTAAATGCTCCACGACTTTTCTATCAAATCTAGTAAAAGTGGTGCTGTCGTAAAAGAAATGTTGGCTCAAAGTCTTCTTTAAATCTGAGGCTGTCTATAGAGAAAAAGAGACGTTGGCTAGAACGAGTGCTGACGGTGCAAAATTTAAAATTGATATTGGATGTAAACCTAGAAGGATGTGGGTTTAAAACAAAGGGAAAGAAAACTCCAAATATCATCCTTCAGTTAGCCAAAAAGCAACAGAACTGTAGGCTTATCACATTCAGTCTGCCCCTGATTTAAGGACAAGTTGCCAAAAACTAAAATTATTGTGCGTCTTGAAGATTTTAGCAAACACACTTAGAGTCCAGCTGCTCCAGGACCAGCAATGATTTGCTTTGCAGTAAGAGTGAAGCCTCATGTCTACATCTTACCATTTATTTTGTTAAGATGTTCTTTTGGAAACAAGTTATCACTGGTTGGTATCCTGTATGAGATGCCTGAACTAAGTGAATGAATAACACCCAAGAAAAGGTAGTGTATTTTGTGCAATGAAAGTAAAAATTGTTCTGCGTTCATTATAAATCCACACTGTTCTTCTTCTTCTGTACGCCAATGACTTCATATAACATACAGTTCAAATAAACCAGCAATGCGCAGAAAGGTAACACTGTTTGACAAGAAAACATTTTCTCTCCTAATCTCAAAGTACATTTTGTCTTGAGCTGAAAAACCAGACAACTTAAACATTTTAAAGATATGTCAGTTCTCTGCTGAGACTCTGAGCCCCAGCTTAGTGGCTGTAGTGGAGGTCAGAGGTCAGGTTAGCGGGTCACTGCTGCGTAAGCTGAACTCTCCTCTCGATGTGAGATATCTCCAGTATCGGCATAAGGAGCTGGAAGGCATCCTGGATGTAAGATGCACTGTTGGATGCCTGTGTGGGATTTAAAAAAACAAAGAACACGTTAGTATGAAATATCAATCCCCAAATGTCCATACTAATGTCTGTTAATCTATATGGGGTTTTAAAACTCAAACTTCTACAAGCAGAGATCCTGATGAAGCAGGATGAAATGGTGTGGAGGAACTAGGCAACCAATTTTAAATCAGCTTTTGCTTTTGGTCACACTTTGTATAAAACGCCATAAAATCAAGTCTCAGCACAGTTTTCTCTGACTATTA